GGGCGTGGCAGAGGGTGCGGCTGTTGGTTGGATCGACTGCTAGAACTGTGGTGCGGACAAGTAGCGCGAGGAGGGATGGCCGGGCGCCTGCAGCGCTAGGATGCCGCCATACCCAAGCAGCCCGAACGGCGAAGACGCATGTGGCGATGGCTGGCCCTCGAGGGTCGAGACGCGCAGCGACAAGTCGCCGATCTGACGCTGCATGCCGTAGATGGCCGTCGTGAGTTGGTGGAATGCCTCCGTGGCCGAGAGATTTCTGCTGTGGTCTTTCAAGCGCCCAAAAGCGAGGCGCCGAGGGCTGAGGGCGGTGGAGAAGTTGGGAATGGAGGGCGCGGCGGTGGAGCTGGTGGGATCGGCATCTGTGGTGGCGGAGGCGACGGCGGAGGGCGGGATGGGAGGGAAAGGTGCCGAGGACGACATGGTCTCTGGTACCAGGTTGTTACGGCGCCTTGACTTGCTCCGGAGGAAGTAGGGAGGGGAGATGACTGGCCGGGGCCTGGCGACCCGGCGGCGAGCGGGCGCCGTGCTCGGCGCGGGAACAGGAGAGACGACTCGGGGCTAAGAGCCCAAGGGAGATTAGATCTCAAACCCAGGCTGAATCTATTCCATCAGCTAAACCGGGCTCTCCGCCACGGTTCCTGCGCCTGTAGACCGTGGTGACCGCGCCCTGGGCACTGTGCCGTTCGGCCAGCTTCCTCGGTGATCAGCTCTAGCCACTGGTGCGATCCCGACGGTGGTACCGTTTTCCCACCATAACAGTCGCACTATGCTATAAAGAGAGGTGGGGGCCGCCGGCTCTCAGTACGAGGTTCACCGTGAGCCGCCACACCCACCAACAAACCCAATCTGATCTAGTGAGGGGCGTAGCCAGCGACGGAAAGCTCCATTGCCATCTTCACCGCCGCCTCTGCACCACCACTGCACTGCGACTGACCTCAACACCGTCACCACGACACCGCCGACATGGACCGCATCACCTTCGCCATGGCTACGTCGAGCTCTTCCTCCAAACCCACGGATGGTCGGTGACATCTCACCTCCCTTCCTCTTTCTCTCTCTCTAGATCATGATCTAGGAAGTTTTTATCCCGTATGTAAGGTTGTACCCGCTAGATCTATGTCTAGGTGATCCACTATATCTATCAAAACACTGATAATTACAAAGAATTAGTGAGATGAGTATACCTGGTCTGGCTGAGCAACATCAGAGAAGATTACATCAACCATGCCAACCAACATCCGGTACCTTGCCGGCTGCCTGGCATCCTCAATAAAGGGAATGACATTTGTCCTCTTCTTGGCCATATTGACAAGGTATCTTCCACTCCTGTGAGAGAACTCAACAGCATAGACCAACCCTTCCTGCAAAGTAACAAAATTCAATGGTACTGTAGAAACAGTTAATGAAGTCGCTGATCAGTATCGGAAACGTAGGTGACAGCGTGATCCCTCACCGGTCCAACAATATCAGACACATGAGACACAGTTGTTCCTGAAGCAGCACCAAGGTAAAGCACACGTTGGCCAGGAGCCTAGATTGTAAACAAGTTTGTACATTAGGACAGCAACAGGAAAGCCTTTTTTTTTCTTACTGAAAGGGCAAGATAATAGATAACTAACTAATGTGTGTTCAGTCTGAGTAGCTTACAATCCAGATGTTGTCAACACCACCAAGCACAGCAGCAGCCAGCTAGGATCGGAAGGGGTTCCACACCCTGTACTCTACCTTTGTCCCATCCTCTTTATATAATGCATGCCAAAACGGCGTGTTCTTAAACCCGACTTGATCCGATTTTTTTTTTATCTGGAACAGTGTTTTCCTCTCACAGATTCCTCCAGAATTCCTCCAAACCATCCAAATTCCTCCAGAACTATACCATCCGAACGGGCCAACAAAAGGTGACCATACATGATGGGTCAAGCTAGTGCTAGATCGCTAGAATAATGCTAGTGAAATAAACCTTCAGTTTAGACTTTTGACATATACATATATAGATCTATAAAACACCATTGGTGACAAAGAGGTAAACTAATTTAACCACATTTATTAGATTCCACCCACATTTGCACAATAGAGAGATGACACAACTACATAAGCAACAACTAGGATGAAGCACGGCCAATGCAAAGGAAGGACCTGGACGGAGACGCGCTTCTCGCCGTAGACGGACTCGCCGGGGTTCATGCTCCTGGTGCAGAGCGCGTCCTCCTTGGCTTTAGCGACGAAGACGCCCTTGTGCTTGTGCGGATCCACCACCACCTTGCTCCCGCCCTCATGCCGCCGCCGCCCCTACGGCTGCCGGCCGGCGCCCTGCCACGAGGCGGCCTACACCTGATCTGATGTTGTTGCCCCCTCCTTTCCGCGGGACGTCAAACCTCCGTCCGCTGTCTCCGCCATCTAGTGGCGGAAACTTCTAGAGAGAGGGCAAGCAAAGAGATGAACTCAAAACTCACTCCTCATACATAGTAAATTTTAGTATTTGCTAAAGAAACTTTCTAAGAGCATCTCCGAGAGTTCCCTACTTTTTTCTCTTAAAAACTTATAGTTTGGCAACTCCTAAAAAGATTTAGGGAGGAAAAAAGAAGGTTATCTCCAAGAGTATCTAATAAATGACATCTAAAAAATCAAATTTAGGGCCCACATAAATTATGTTGTGGCTTTTTTTCTTTTCCATCACGGGAAACTACACGGCGCGCCCCTCGTGTGCTCCGACTCCGACACGGTCGGCTTGTCGCCATCGACGCCGTCGGCATCTCCGCTGGACCCTGACACCGACGACGAGCGCGTCTCCTCTTCGCCCATAGCAGCTCTGAGATTTTTCACAAGCAGCAGAGGGGACACCGCACTAGCCCGTTCTCGTTGCACTCGGGGCACCGCCTAAAGGTGTCCACCTCCTCGAGGAACACCTTGCAGCTGCCGGAGCATTCCTCGCAGGGCACGAACCGCACGCCGCCGTAGCTGGAGCACGCCTCCAGGGCAATGCCCTTGCCGCCGGAGCTCGGCAGGGGCGCCATCTCACAGGCCTCGAGCGCCTTCGACAGCTCGCCAGCCTCGTGCATCCAGCGGACCTCCTCGGCGGCGCCCAGGTGCCTGCCGTCTGCGAACACATGCAGGATCCTGCTTCATGCGGTGGAGCCTAGCGTGGCGTGGAGCTCGTCTTTGAACCCCGAGTGCATCGACAGGTCGCGCTCGTCGACGCGCACACCGTAGCTCCGGAGCGCGGCGGGGGTATCTCATCCAGCGCCTTCCGGAACGCGGCGATGACGTCCGAATTGAACTCGGGCGATCCTGGGGCCGACTTCTCCCGCTGCTCCTCGCCGTTGGCGTCGCCGTCCTCGTCCTTGTCATCGAGGCCGTCCATGAGCTCCCACACGTTGATCACCTCGGGCTCGCGGACCTGCGTCTTGGCTGGTGACCCTGGCACCTGTTTCTGCCGCCGCATCAGCTGCGGCTTAAGCGGCAGCGGCGGCGTCTTCGCCGCTCCGACAACTCTGCCGTCGTCGCGCCACTTCATCATCTCCTCCTCGTCTCGGTCGAGGTTGAGCGACCCCAGCGTGGAAGACTTGAGCGCGACGGCAGGGAGTCGAAGGATACGCCCGAGGCTACGGCACGTAAAGTTACGCGGATGAGGGGGATTTTTTCCAACTCCTAAAATATTAGGAGTTGTTGGAGATGGATTTTTTATGGATCTTTCTAAAAACTTAGGACTAGAAGGAGGTTTAGGGAACTCTTGGAGATGCTCGGTGCCATGGCCACCTTTGGCCCCTTCCAAGAGAGGTCCCTGCCGCCATCGCCTCTCCCCCCTGCCCTCCAGCTGCGGCCTCTGCCTGATCCTCTCCTCCCGCCGTACCCTCCGGGAAGCGAAACATTAGGTCAGACAGTTTGTTGCACCGATCGAGCAATTGAGCGGTAACCCAGAATGGTCTGGCTTTGGCTGCTAGCTTGCCTCGTAGCGGTGGCCTCATGGTGGTGACGACGTGCGTAGTCGACGATCACCTCGTACCCGCCGCCGCCGCCGCAAGGCAGAGGTTTAAAGTTTTTTCCGAAAACTTTTTACCCTTTTTCTTGGACGAGGGTTTAGGGTTTTGGTATATATATATATATATATGTGTGTGTGTGTGTAGACACAAATAAAAATAGACAAGCACGCTGAACAAAAATCACGCCTGCGCAATTTTCATTCCAAAAATGTCGCTCTGGACCATAAGCCCATACCTGCGCTCGTGGGCCCTTGAACTTCAGCCCGGGCCAAAAGATCCTCCAGCGATTTCCCTCACGTTAAATTTCCGGCCAATTTCAACATCGATAAAATCAAGCTTAAGTTAGCACTGCAGTCCAAAATTCCCTAAAAAAAAGCACTGCAGTCCAAAAGCTTTGATGTGAGCTTATCAGTTGCAAAAACCATATCTAAACAGCCCGTGGTCTCTAGCTTGTTTAAATTTCAGTGAGTTTATTTGTAATTTCTTGGGTAGAGCTGGTAAAAGGGCTGCCCATGTGTTGGCGGGTTTAGGTTATGGATGCATCTAAGGGAGGCGCTAATTTCCAGCACCATCCCTGATGATGTCTTTGTAATTGTCTCTGATGAGTAATGAATCAGCCAAAGTTCAAAAAAAAAAACATCAAGCTTAAGTTACGTACGTATTATTAAATTAATCACAATTCATCAGCAGCAGCAGCAGTTCATACATCACATTCACACCAACCTAGCCAATGTTTACACAGGCAAAACTTGCCGTTTCAAGAGCTGGCAAATAACCAAACTCAGCCATCATCAGCAATCTACTTGAGCGTGACACGAGTGCGGCAGCAGGTGGCGTCATCTGAATTCTGACCTGAGAGAGTTGCGTGCTCTGCGTAACTGTGTTCCTGCTTCCTTCAGCTACTGGATTCCATCACCAGGTAGACGGCCTTACACTACTCACCTGTTACAGTGGTGGTGCTGAGGCAACAGCGCTCAAGAGGGAGAAAGAAAATGAGTGCTGGCGCCTCTGATCCACTGCTCAGATGATGGTGAAGTTCGAGAATATGTTCATCAGGTTGTCAAGCGCCTCAGGGTAGAACTTTCGCGCGAACAGGTAGCAGGGCCGCTTCATGCCATTCCACATGCACGGCCTCCTCTGCGCTACATGCTGCACAATGAAGACAAATGGCGCGTTAGAGCTTCCAGGGAACAAGGAATACCTCATTCGTTTAAGCTGGCAGTGATTGGGAATAAGCCAAGCAAAGCGAAGGACCGAATTACTCTACCCTTGCATTGCTGCTAACGTGGACGCTCTCATCAATGGACTGCGGGCGTTTGCAAAATCGTTAGATAAATGCCAAGGGTAATGAATTGTTTGCCCCTAAAGGCTCGAAGCTTACCGAGATGTTCTTGAGCAACTCGAAGCTTGTATCCACAGCCCTATAGACTTTAGGATGCCATTTCCCTTCAGACCAATCTACATGCGTCACTGACCAATTTGCAATTCCAGTCGGATCAACCATCTGCAGCCACAAATACAAATGCAGTGTTGTTCAGTAGTTTTTCTCAATAAAATGTTGTTGGCTGTTCAAAGAGAACAAAAGGCCGTCATCTACAAGCTTCTGAACACTTACATTAAAGAGAGTTGGCAAGTAGTGCTCGTCTGAATAGCAGTTATGCCATTCATTCCCTGGCTGTAAAGTTGCAATCACAACATCAGCAACGACATAAATATCAGGAAAAGGGGGGCAATTTATGGCATGTACTATACTCTTGTGCACCCTGTTCACCCTAAATAGCAGTATGTGCTATGGTTTGATATTATCTAGGCTGAAAGACACAGGTTAACAAACACAATTGTTTTCGCCTTTTTCCCCAGAAATCCTCTACCTATTGTCTGAGCATATTAGAAGGTCTGCTTGTTACACATGAAAAATAACTTGACAGTGCTTTTAATAAGACAATGTATCTTAGAATGTCTTTTTTTGGTGTGGGGAGCAAGGGACCACCTTACAGTAACGCTTGAACTTCCCATAGTAAAGGGTGTCAGCGAGAATAAGAACTGCATGCTGCCGTTTTACTGTAAACCACTGTAAGAGAAGAACACACAAGAGCATTCAAGTTAACTATGAGAAGCCATAACAGCTGTTATAAGTAATTGATTTTGGATTGAATTTGGACGATAGAGGATTATTGGAAGAGAAAAAATACAAAAAAATGAAGCAACAACCATAAAGTTCCACTTTCTAGGGCGATCAATCATATGAAACTATTACCTGTGCACCCTTTCTCCAATCTTTCTTCACAATTTCAGGTAGCATATGGTCAGAATATCTACCTGCTCCATGTGGACCAGGATCATCAAAACTGAGAAAAAGATAATTTGGCATGTCAATAGCAAAATTCTTATTTAAAAAACATAATTTCAAGGAAAGCATATCTTAAATCAAATATCTTTTCAACTCTGATTAGGGGAAAAGTTAATGTGTTGCTTTATGTAAGTATGTTCAGTTGTTCACTTACCAGTCAACAAAACTGACGTTTGTCTCCATGAGATAACTATATATATAATCGAAGTTATGAAGTGGCACGCAGCTGCAATTAGAATGAAGTGTTAGGATACGGACCTATCACTGAAATTTAGATGGGAGCAGAACAAATGAAAATGATTAACCTCTCAGAAAGCAAGACAAAATGCTGGTTTTCAGGATCTTGTAGGGCATGAGCCAAGAGCCTCTTTTCAGCATCAACCATAGAAATCGTGCCCCAGATCACCTGGCAAGAAAATTGAAAAATTAGATCCTACAACAACTATAACTAAAACTTTGGCATCAAAATAATCTTGGACACAATTGCTGTAGGCAAGTACTACTGGCCATGATAGGTACAGGTGATGTTTCAACAACATTAATAAATCCTGGGTCATACTCTACAAAATATATCCATCCGTTTAAAGAATGGAGTTCTACAATTATTAGAGATGGCACTCTGAGAGAAAACAGAACATATTTTTTTTTCAAAATCAATCTGTATTATATTGAAAGTTAGCAAACATTTTCTGCATCAATGAGGACAGTACAGGTTTAAGCCAATTCTAGTTAGATACCTTTTCACTTCGAATATCCCTGCCAGCGAATATTGGACTTGAATGAACCGGTCTATCTCTTGATGCATGCACGTATATGGTGTATCTGTCTTCATGACCCTGAAAGTACACCCAAGTGGTTAGATTTGGTACTCATACACACCCAGCTGCGCAGGTGACTATGGACATATCCTTGTTCTTATATGAGATAGTATGTAAAAATTGAGTTTGTTTACAAAATAAAATAGTAGCTAAACAATTTATTTTACTAATAGGAGAGGATATTAGTGTTACACGCTGTGAGACAACCATTTAGTCAATTCTGCTAAGACTCGTTTACTACCTAGACATGTATTCACTGGAATTCACAAATACTGCAAAAATCATACCATGAAGAATTTTTCCCATAGCTTCTCAAATGGCAACAAACTGGGCGTCAAGAACATGAAAGCAATTTTTGGATTCTTTGACTGCACTGGCCGTGCCCGAATGATGTCTCTCATGATAGCACGAGCAGCAATCTCATCATCAGTGTATACCCTAGCAGGTTCTGGAGGAGGCCGAGAATTGCAGGCTTCTGATGGTACCAGATAACAGGCTGTGTAATGCCGTGGAGTATAAAGATAGGCTCCAAGGGCTACTAGACAGACAAAAGCAACCAAGACGACGATCCAGAGAGGCCTTCTAGATGAAGCCCTACTGCGCGATGCCATGATGTATCTGTACAGACAGGAAAGCAGGGCCTAGCAAGCTACAGCCATGCAATCATCCATAAGCACTCCTCTGATAGAACTGATCAAAATCCAAAAACCTGGGCAACACAGAGAAAACAAAACTTTTAGTTTAATGGCTTCAGGCTTTCAGCTAACAGTACCATTTTTTTTGTTGCAAAACAGTTCATGTCTTGAACAACAATCCATATTGTATAACAAAAGGACATGTATAGAAGATTAAAACATTTCTAAGACACAATAGTTCAGAAACTGCTTGATATTGCACTAGGCTGGAAACAAAAGTTTAAAACTATATGTGTATACTAAAGAACAGAGTATAAAAACATATACTAAATAAAATACATAATTATGGAAATACCTGTAGGTAAAAAAAATGAAAAAAAAACTATATATATACTTGCTACCCCAAAACGAAAAACAACTATAGAGTACATTTCAATCAAGCCAATGTTCTAGTTAACAAGTAGGAGATTCTACAAGTCGTTCTGGGTTACAAAACAAAGCAGGACAGTTGACGTTTTCACCTGGAACTTGCCAATTTCTATCCACAGATGAACTTCAAGTTATTAGGGATAATAAAAAAACACAAGCTCTCTATGCATTTATCCTGTCTTAACCTTTTTTTTTGGTTCCTTGTTGCTTGTTGGTTCGTATGGCATGCATCAATTTTAAGTTAAATTCTCTGCACTGTCTAATGTTAAAGTACTTACATGTCCACACGGCCACCCATCAATTTTTCCACAGCACATCACAAAACCCTCCCTAAACCTCGCCAACCAATTATCACCAGACGAACTCCAAAATGGCATGGCCGCAACTTAGCTTGACGCGCTGAAAACCCTAGGCAAAGATTCTAGATGGATTCTCGACTCGATAACAAGGACACCACGCAGCACACGAGCCCACAGGTAACCGGGCAAGAAAAATTCGAACTTGAACGCTCGCAGACGGGAGAGAAAGGTCCCCAAGGACAAGGCAGGCGAGCTCCAACCTCCAACAGAGAGGCAAGGCAAAACTCGAGTCACTTACCCACAAGCGAAGAGGCCGATCCGAGTCAGTCCGGATAGACAGAGCTCCACTGATTCCACACCGCACCAGGAAGCCGGCAGCTGCCGTGCAGAGGAGCGGAAAGGCTAGGTCGACGGCGACGAACCACCGGCAGCTCGCGGCGGCCGCGGAGGATGACAGGAAGCAAGAGCACGCGCGCGATTCGTCTGGGTTACGGAGATGTTGGGGAGATCTAGACGGTGGAGGAGGGGGAAAAGTACGGAAGAATCTTGGGAGCAAGCAAGACTGAAGTGGAAAGATTGGCTGGACAACACCAACGCAGAACAGGCAGAGCACAGGGGTCTTTGCAGTCTGCAAACGCTGCTTCTGCTTGACCCCCTCGAAGCCAAGAAGAGGTTTTTGCATCTTGGGCACTTGAGCACGGTCTAATTACTCCATCTGTCTGGGTGCTTTCTGGAAAAAGGATTTTGTATAACTTTTTTTTGGTTCCCAAAAGAGCTTTTATATTTGTTCGATTCATATCTATGTCTGCTTAACGACGACGGTGTATGTCGATGTAGTTTATATTGGCTGCAAGTAGAGATAGCAGATCCGTTCCACTAACAACGTCGGAGATGTCAACGTCGTCGAAGTAGTCACCGTGAGATGTCGGCACAAGCGTCGACGTCGAAGATCAGTGGCAGCTTCAACGGTGATGTCGACGTAGAGCTTGTCGTGCTGATAAGGTGTTATAAAGCATGTTGCCAACGGTTAGAACCTTATGAAAGGTCCTAATATGGCTAGAGGGGGGTGAATAGCCTATTTAAAAATCTATAAATTAACTAGAGCAATTTGATTAGTATGACAAATAGCGAAATGCAAACTTGCTCCAGCTCTATAAGGGTTGCAAGCCACCTATCCAATAATTCTAGTTACTATAATTATTAGACACACAATTTGCTAAGTCACTACTCACTAAAATCTCTCACACTTGCTACATTAAAGAGCTCCACTAGATTAACTTAAACTACAAAGCAAGCTCTCAATTCGAGGTACACTAAAGAGCTTGCTACAACTAGTTTGCAAGAATATAAATGAGTGAGTAGGATGATTATACCGCCGCGTAGAGGAGTGAACCAATCATAAGATGAACACTAATTCAATCATCGAGAGAATACCAAAGGGTAAGAGACAACCAATTTTCTCTCGAGGTTAACGTGCTTGCCAACACGTTATGTCCCCGTTGTGTCGACCAACACTTGATGGTTCAGCGGCTAAGAGATATTGCACGAACCTCGTCCACACAATTAGACACCGCAAGAACCTACCCACAAGTGAGGTAACTCAATGACACGAGCAATCCACTAGGGTTATCTTTCGGCGCTCCGTCGGGGAAGGCACAAGTCCCCTCACAGTCACCGAAGATGGCTACGAGCAATCATCAACTCGTGCCAATACTCCTCCGCTGCTCCAAGCCGTCTAGGTGGTGGCAACCACCAAGAGTAACAAGCGAATCCGGTAGCGAAACACGAACACCAAGTGCCTCTAAATGCAATTACTTAAGCAATACACTTGAATTCTCTCTCAATCTCACAATGATGATGAATCAATGATGGAGATAAGTAGGAGGGCTTTGGCTAAGCTCACAAGGTTGCTATGTTAATGCAAATGGCTAAGGGAGTTAGCTTGAGCCGGACATGGGGCTTAAATAGAGAGCCCCCGTGAATAGAGCCGTTGGCTCTCTGTTTCCTAAAAAATCGGGGTGACCGGACACGTCAGTCAGATCGATCGGACGCAGGCCCCAGCGTCCGATCGTGCAATGCACGCCACGTGGCCCCTGCTTCAAATGCTAATCGCACGATCTCAGCGGTCATCAGTACACTTAAGTTGTGACCCGACGCACTATAGTGTAGGACCGGACACAGGACTCCAGCGTTCGGTCACTTCCAGTAAGGTTCCAGTCGTGACGCCCGACCGGACTCACTCAGCGTCCGGTCACTCACGGTCTTCACTGTGCGCCGCCACATCAGCAGGACGGGACGCTAAACAGTGTTCAGCCATAGTTCGGTCACCTACGTCCGGTCTCAGGCCGAGAGTACCACTTTCTTTTATAATTGATCGGATGCTGCCTCCAGAGTCCGGTCACCACGTGACCAGCGTCCGGTGCACTCTGTGAAACCCTATCTTTTCTGTACAGGGCGCCGGTGGCACCGTCGAACTCTGTCGGTGAAGTTTTGAACCCTTACTCCCAGGTGCTAAACACAATATGTATCGTCTTTGTGCATGTGTGTTAGTACATTTTCACTAACATTTTTAAGGGTGTTAGCACTCCACTAGATCCTAAATGTATATGCAATGAGTTAGAGCATCTAGTGACACTTTGATAACCGTATTTCGATACGAGTTTCACCCATCTTAATAGTACGGCTATCGAACTTAAATGTGATCACACTCATTAAGTGTCTCGACCACCAAAACGAAAAAGCTCATATCAAGTTTCACCTTTGCCTTGAGCTTTTTGTTTTTCTTTCTTTTTTTTCAAGTACAAGCATTTGATCATCACCATGCCATCACCATCATCAAATCATGATCTTCATTTGCTTCATCACTTGAGTAGTGCTACATATCTCATAATCACTTTGATAAACTAGGTTAGCACTTAGGGTTTCATCAATTCATCAAAACCAAACTAGAGCTTTCAATCTTCCCTCTCCGTCTCTCATGATCAACATAGTAGATGAAAGTAGAACACATAGACACAAGAGATAGGGAGACTATTCTTTATTTGTCTCAATATTGATGATTACAATATAGAGCTCCCACGTATATATAGTCCTGCCAAGGTCTAAGAGTTTGGTAAGAGTTCACATACAAACAGATTAGGATTCCTCATTTTCCTTTCCTTCTAAGATAGAGTCCGTATGTTTTACAACATGCATACTCAACTTTGACGTGTAAACTCTTGACGTTAGAATTCCTGTGTTCTTATTTTTTATTCCAAAAAACACTTGCTCCCTCAATCTCTTTTTATTTGTCGTTCTCGTTTTCCGAAAAGTCAAGCGTACTCAACTTTGACTAAATTTATATAAAATATAGAAAATAATTAGGGTACATAATTAGTATCATTAGATAGATCGTTGAATCTATTTTTATAATAAATTTATTTGAAGATACAAATATTGCTAAAAATTTCTACAAATTTAGTCAAACTTAAGAAAGTTTAACCGGCACAAAAACCGTAGCGACAAATATTTAGGGACAGAGGGAGTATTTATGTGTTTCCTTTATGTTTTCTTTTCCTCTGTTTCGCTAAAACATCTATACCCTATTCCATAACCTATTCTTGTGTTTTTTCTCGTACTTCTATTTTTCCCATTCCTTCTGTTTTTTTTATTATCTTATTCCTCTGTCTTTAATTCTTCTATTCCAAAAAGGCCATAGGGGCCCTTTCAGAACACAGTAATTTCTTAGCCACAATCACATAAATCAATTTATTTTAAAAGAGAAAACGTTGGAAATAGAAAAAAAATATCTTATTTTAAAAGGGAGCTAAATGGATAGTTTCTGAATAAAAGTGTTGGCCCAGGCCGGCACCAGTTATTATTCTTCGTTTGTGACAGTCTCCATTGCAGTACCAGTACTCGAGTTGTCACAGAAGATGCAAACAGAGAAGCAGTGCAGGAAAAACCAAGCAGAGCCCTCCCTTTCAGACCCCTGCTTAGTCAAAATCCTACATTTTTTCTTCAGCAAACTTATATGGCTATATAGTAAGTATATAATAGTAACTATAATACTAGATCAAACACCCTGCACCGGCGATCTTAGTCTATCAGACGCCGGTGAGTCACCTTACAGTTGCTTGCTCATATGTGCACACCCTTCTTCCTCGGTGGAATTCCCACCCTACTACTACTAGACTACTACTCTACCACGATCTCAGGCAGCTTCAGCATGCTGTGGCCGCAGCAGCTGCTCCTCGTCGCCGCCGCTGT